TATTGTTGCCTGGTGATATTTTATCCATTTTGCCATTTTATGTCTTTTCAGTGGTGCATTTAGTCCATTCACATTCAGGCTAATTATTGAAATGTGAGAGTTCATCCCTATCATAGAGTTTTTATAGAGTTGTTCTTTCACTTGGTTTATTGTCTTTCTTTTGTTTTGGGGGTTGGTTCATGTGTATTTTATTCTTTTTCCTGTACTCTTGTGAAGAACGTTGTTCTTTTTTCCCCCTTTTCCTCTGTGTTTAGTACTTTCTTACGTGTTTCATGTAGAGGTGGTTTGGTGGCAGCATAAGTTCTTAGGGATTGTATATCTGGGAAAGATTTTAATTCTCCCTCATTGAAGAAGCTTAATCTGGCTGGGTAGGTTATTCTTGGTTGAAATTGTTTATCTTTTAGGACTTTGAAAATAGGGCTCCAAGCTCTCCTTGCCTGCAGGGTTTCTGTAGATAAATCTGCTGCTATTCTAATTGGTTTTCCTTGGTAGGTGATCCGGCCTTTTTCTCCTGCTGCCTTTAAGATTTTTTCTTTTATGCCTACTTGGTTTAGGCAAATTATTATGTGTCTAGGAGTTGTTTTTCTTATTTGTTGTCTTGCAGGGGTTCTCTGAATCTCTTGTGTTTGAGTTTTTGCATCATTGATTAGATAAGGGAAGTATTCTTGAATGATCTCATGGGAGGTTTGTTCCAGTGTGGTCTCTGTCTCTCTTTCTGCCTCAGGAAGTCCAATTACTCTTAGATTTTGTCTCTTGAAGCAACCATTCATCTCTTGAAGATTTTTTCTGTCTTTTTGAGCTTATTTTCTGTGTTTTTGAGAGTTTGGTTTAGTTCTATATTTTGGTCCTCAAGCTCTGAGATTCTTTCTTCTGCTTGGGTAATTCTGCTTTCCATGTTTATCAGTTTGTTATTTATTTCATTCACAGTATTCTTTATTACTGTTATCTCAGATATCAGCTCCTTTCTAGTTTCTTCTTGAGTCTCCTCAATTCTTTTTAATTTCTCCATTAATGTCTTGATATCTAGGTTTGTACCTTGAGACCAGTCATTCTGGGGCTTCTTCATTGTGTGCATTCCGAAGTCAGTTTTCTCAGTGTCTGCCCTCCCAGGAGTCTGGGAGAGACACATATTCTTCTTTTGGTTTTTCTTCATTTGTGTAGATTTTTCTATCGTCCCTTAGTAGATAAAGTCCCTTGAGCTCTAATCTCCAGCCTCTCCCTTTTGTTTTGTTTTGTTTTTTTTTTGCAGGCAGCTAGCCTGCTGCCTGGGAGATCTGTGACACTGGTCTCTGTTCAGTGTAGGGGAGGGGCTTTGTCTCCTGTTTAATGACGTCACCGTGGGAACCGAGGTGGAGGCTCTGATAGGTGGGCAGGGTGATGCGATGCAAATATGCATTGAAAATGGTGGAGGTGGTAGTTTTACTTTCACTTTTAGGGATGCTCGTGTGGGTCTCTAGGCGGGACCAGCTGCACAGCTGGGTGCTGGATCCAGGGTGCCACCAGCAGGCTTGGGTGGAGGAGAGGGTTGGGCGTTCCCTCCTCTGGAGCTGAAAGCCTCTGATCAGCACCTTACACCAGCTTGGGGTTCTGCTCCCTTACACAGGCTTGTGGTCGCAGGCTGAGTGCCTCAGCCAGGGTGAGCCCGGGGCTTCAGATCTCCAAAGCTCCAGAGGGCAGATGGTGGCTCTGAGTCCCTCACAGGGCACTTCAGCCAGAAATGGGACTGATATCTCTGGGGGGCAGGTGCCCAAAGGTGACCGGCAGCTAGGTAACCGGCAGCTTGTTGCTCGGTGCTGGTCATGACGATGTAGCCAGGGAGGGAGCTGGGATTCGGGATTCTGGATTCCACAGCCGGCTGGAATCACATATAGTGGAGCAGCCGTGGTCAGGCTGCAATATCTGGCCCTGCATGGGACCAAAGGTCCCCAGACCTCGTACCAGTGCAGCTGGCAGTGGGCAGGGGGTGCAGGAAGAAAAGTAAGAGTCTTTTTGGGAACTCACATTCGGAGAGTCTCACGGATCCATCTATGCCGTCGCCATCTTCAGGTGAGCCCCCTTGGGATGACTTTTCAATTGCTCTTGCTCTGATTACATGTAGGTTTGGAATTAATTTATGCCTAATTCATAATGATTGCTGAAGTTTAGCGTGCTCCAATAATTTTCAAGAATGAAAACCTATCTATTCCCACTCAAACCGAGAAGTATTTGCATACTATCTTTTGGGTTCCCCGGTTTTTACTTTATTTTCAAATATTTCATCATTCTGATATATTTTTCTTACTTGGTACATATTTTTCATTTTAAATTAGAATTATATTTTATTGTTGTTTCTCTTTTGTTTTAATTTTTCCTAAAGAGTTAGGCATAGTGCTCAAATAGGATATGAGGGAGCTGAGTGACTGGAAACTGGGTCAAGGATACATGTTTCCTAAATAGACATAACAGAACCATCTTCCCAAATAGAAAAAAGATCTAATTAACAAATATAAAAGATTTTCAGTTTGTGGTCACCTTATCTGAAATATTAGATGTAGATGCTAGAGATGAGGACACATAGTATTTGAGCATTATCTTTACTGAAAATATGAACCTAACAGTCTAGAGGTCAAAAGAGAAAAAATTCATCCCTGAATGAGATGATTAATTCAAACGCCTGCATTGAAAGAAAGCTCAGCTTTGCAGATGTGTTTTCCCATGTCTATTTATAAAGTGTCACATTGTTAATCATGGGGTATTCTTTCATCCAACCACTATTTACTGATACTCTTGTTGTACCAGAGACTTGGAAAGCCACTAGGTAGGGGGAAAACAAAGCAGACAAGTTTCCTGCTCTTTTGGTTCTTACATTCCGATGATCATTGGTTATTATGATGACAGAGAAGGGCAGTGACCTAGGAAAGCATTGATGTTTTAGTATGGAAAGGGATATGGTTACACTACTTTTTGTGAATATATTCATAAGAGCTAGACTTGAGCAGTTTCTCTGGTCTCAAGATGCCAGTACATATCTTAATGCCAATAAGCTCGAGGAGATGCTGACATCCAGAGTCTCTATCTGCACATTTACTCTAGAGGTCGCATGAATGTCATAACCACTGAAAGGCCAAAAATAGCCTTCATCAAATTATTAAAATCTAGGTTCTTAAAAAGAAAACATAAGGGAGCACTAAAGAATCATACTTCTAAAACTCAATTTTTTCTCACCTAATTGATTCTCCACTTTAAGCAGAGTGGATCCTCACATTTACCCTGCCTTCTTGAAAGACTTTTTTAGCAGGTAACCATAATGTCTGTTATCTATCAGTTATAGCTTACCATTGAAGCTAAAGGAAATTAAATAATTAAAAATATTACAGCATGCTCTGTAAAATTCACAAACCCTTTTAATAGCACTTGATGCCAAACTGAATGCAGAGGTTTGCCTAATCACAACATTTTACCTCTCACAGCTACCGTCCTAGCCTCCCCTCAGCCAGTAGCCATTCAACTTGAAGACAGAAGGGTTATATTCAATTACTTAATGTAGAATTCAGAAACATTTTGTCAAAAGTTATTCTGCAAGACTCTTTTGTGTTTTGTCTTCCCACATTTTGAAAAGACTATATATTGAAGATAGCAGACAATTCTCCCTGAATCGACATCTTCATGGACTCCAAAGCCTCAGTGCACTCTCTGACAAAGATGCAGGAAAGCTGAAACAATGCTCTTCAACAAACAGGCTTTGTCTGTCTGTGCTGGCAGCAACTGCTCCAGAAAGTTACACAGGCGATATGCTCCTGTGTATTCCCCATAGGCACTTAGCACTCCTGCACACAGCTTCCAAATCTGTCATCTTTCTGGTCTGCTGTCATCAGATTTTTATTCTTTCTGGCTAGGGACATAAAACATAAGCATCTTTCCCAGTTTCCTAGTTTCTTAGGACCTATGATCATTTTAGCCTTGTGAATGTTCTTTTTCCAGAGGGGGAAATATTATGGGACTAACCCCGCATGGCATAAGAAATGAAATGCATCTCGGTGCCCACAAATGCATGTGTTAGCTAATGGTTCTAAATGCAAAACCAAAGGATCTCAGGTAAAACATATTATCAATAAATTGTAGACTCTAAGGTCTTCCTGAGCTCTTGGTCATCTTAGTATCTACCCACTATGACTATCCTCAGAATAATCTTAACAATCAATCAGAAGATGGAGATGGAGATAAGGTGGCCCACCTGGGTACACAGTTTGCATTCATGTTGGGATCAGAGTGTGCATGACCTGTTCTCTAATTGACCAGCTTGGTTTGAATTGTTAAGGCTTCACAGAGGAAGAAGACATTGAGTTAGCTCTTAGAGTAACTTTCTGTGTGGTAGAAAAAATAAAATCTGAGGAAAAGTAAAACTGCATGTGTGAAGGCAGATGTGCTAAAAGACAGTGTTCTAAAAGCTTCAAGGGACTCAGCAAGGTAACACACAGAGTGCAGGAGGGGAAATGGATGCTTTGGGATAAGCAAATAGAGGGACATTTAAACTCTCAAACTTCACTAAGTAGTTTGTATTCATCTTTACTAAGTAGTTTGTATTAATTCATAGGAAGTTGCTAACTGATATGACTAGATTTCCAGTTAGATAAATTATTGCACAAATTTGCTCACACAAAAACAATTGTCCTTGATATTTAAAATTTAAAATATCAAAAGTAAGGAGCACTACTTGCTATAACCCAAGGTGTTAAGAGAAAAAATTGCTGAAGAAATTCAGAAGCTCTCCAGAATTAACAGGCTAAATGGAAATATAAAGATATAGAAGATAGATAATTCTTTAGAAGTGTAGATTTCAGTTTGTGCTATATGATCCGGTTTTTATAACAAGTCGTAAATTAATGTGTACAGAGGACAAGTTTAAATGGGGGTTAAGTAGATTTTTTGGAAGAAGAGGAATTTTTCTTGGGTCTTGATGAAAGTGGTAGGAAATTAAAGGGGAAGGTAAATATTAGAAAAATGAGTGGGCTACTTAGAGCTAAAATATTTGGTTAATAAGGCAGGATATGGAGATATTGGCAAAAAAAAAAGTTGGAATAATTTTGGGAATGAGAAACAATTGACTGACGACACTGGGCTCAACCAAGCAACTCACAGCTTGGGGAAGTTACCCTAAGACAAAGTTCAAGGAGTCCAATTATCAAATGACTGGAGTGAAGATTTTTGTTCCAGCCATAGTTATTTCTTATAAACAATTGGAATTGATGCTGACCGGTTTAGGCAGCATCTTGAAAGGATGTCAAGAGTCTCAAGGATTTCCTAGGAATTCAAAAGAAATGGGCACTGAAAATGAGCAGGAATAAAGTGAGAATAACTGGTCAAGTCAAAATAACATGGTAGAAATAGTTACCTAGGGATCTGCTGCTTCAGTTGTTGGACACTAGTCTCCACCAGAGCCTGAATGACACTCTTGCCATTGTTCTCCGAAAGGATGACTTTTGACTAGCCACTGCATGTCCCTGGATCCTGACCCAAAATTCAGACCAGATGACACTGATATGCTGAGTCAAGGTCACAGACTCCAACACAGAAAGAGGTTTAGACACAAGGTAACAAAAAAAAGCTATATTCATTACAATTTGTTGTTGTTGCTATTGCTGTTGGGACATATATTTGTGCATTTTTGTTAATAATTGTATGAGAAATTACTGATACAGCCTCTGGAAATGTTCTATGTTTCCTAAGTAATCTTCTAATTATAGTCTTCCATTAATTATAGTCTTTATAACAGCATCAGAAACACTACGTGACCCTCCAGGATTTTTATTTCTTTTTTCAAATTTTATTTATCATAGGAATGTTGGGTACAAGTGAGGATTAAATACATAAGTAGGCTGCATGCAGGTGAAGTTTGGGCTTCTAACTGGCCCTCACTGCCTGTGGTAATGAACCAAGTACCCTCCCCTAGCAGTGCCCAGTGATCTCTTCCTTGTGCTAATGTGACTAATGGTCAAGGCCAACTTATGAGTGAAAACGTGGTATTCAGATATTTGTTTCTGTGATAGTTCACTTAGTATGATGGTCTCCAACTCATCCTATTCGCCGTGAATACATGACTTTGTTCTTTATGGCTGCATAATACTCCATTGTGTGTATACATATATACACCACATTTTCTTTATCCAGTCTACTTTTGATGGGTAGAAGAGTTGGTTTCATGCTTTTGCTACTGTGAAGGATGTGGCAGTAAATATGCATGTGCATGTATCTTTTTTGTGGAACAATTTATGTTCCTCTGGGTATATTCCCAGAATAGGGATTGCTCGTTTGTATGGAAGGTCAATTTTTAGTTCTTTTAGGAATTATCACACTGCTTTCCATAGAGGTTGAGTTAGCTTGCACTTCCCCAACAATGTAAAAGCACTCCCTTTTCTCTGCACCTGTGCCAGCATCTGTTGTTTTTTGACTTCTTAATGATAGCCATTCTTACTGGAGTTAGGTGGTATCTCATTGTAGTTTTCATTTGCATTTCTCTGATGATTAGTGAGGCTGAACATTTTTTATGTGTCTGTTGGTTGTTTGTCATCTTTTGAGAATTGTCTGCTCATGTCCTTTGCCCACTTTTCAATGGGGTTGTTTGCTTTTCACCTTTCACTTCATTTGAGCTCATTGCAGATCTTGGACATTTGTCAGACGCATAATTTGCAAATATTTTTTCCCATTCCATGGGTTGTCACTTTACTCTCTTAATGGCTTCTTCTGCTATGCAATAGCTTTTTCAGTTTAACGAAGTCTCACTTGTCTATATTAGCTTTTATGGCATTCATTTTTGGAGACTGGGTTAAAAAATTTGTTGCCTACTCTGATTTGCATAAGGGTGTTTCTTACATTTTCTTTTAGGATTCTTGTAATTTGAGTTTTTACATTTAGGTCTTTGATCCACTTTAAATTGATTTCTAAATATGGTGATAGGTAGGTCAGCCAGTTTTCCCAGCGCCATTTGCTAAATATAGTATCCCTTTCCCAGTGATTGTTATTGGTGACTTTGTTGAAGATGAGTTGGTTAAGACCGTGTTTTTGCTTCCAGAATCTCTGTTCTGTTTCATTGGTCTGTATCCCTAATCTTATTTCAATACCAGGCTGTTTGGTTTACAGTAGCCTTGTAATAAAGTTTAAAGTCTGGAAATGTGATACCTCCTATTTTGTTCCTTTGCTGAAGATTGTTCTGACTTCTCCTGCTCTTTTTATTTTCCAAATGAATTTTTTTTTTTTTTTTTGAGTTGGAGTCTCACTCTGTCACCCAGACTGGAGTGCAGTGGCCGCTCCCGGCCTCCACAGCCTCGACCTGCTGGGCTCTGGTGATCCTTCCGCCTCAGCCTTCCAAGTAGCTGGAATTACAGGCATGCGCTACCATGCTCGGCCGATTTTTTGATTTATTGTAGAGATGAGGTCTCGCTGCCCAGGCGGGTCTCGAACCCACAGGCTCAGGCAACCTAAACTCACCTCAGCCTCCCAAGGCGCGGGATTACAGGCTGAGCCACCGAGCCTGGCTTATAAAAGATTATTTTAGTAACATAAATAACATTTTAAGATATTCCTTTTCAACTTGTGTACAATGCTTTAACAACGTGAAAACTGACATCAATTTTGATTCTGGTGTTTTGTTTTACCTTTTTAACCAGCTCTAATTCTTGCATGGTTTTCTGAAGTTGCTTCTTTTCTTTCTGAAGTTGTACCTGAAGTTCTTCAAGTTCATTTACCATACTGGTATGTTCCTAAAATCAAAAATAACAAGAACACCCACATTAAATAAAATAACCAACCAACAATAAAACCTGTAAAATAAATCTGACACACTGAAATACATAGATTGGTAATATTTCTTTCTTTTTTTTTTGAGTTGGAGTCTCACTCTGTCGCCTGGACTGGAGTGCAGTGGCTGCTCCCGGCCACCGCAGCCTTGACCTGCTGGGCTCCGGCGATCCTTCCGCCTCAGCCTTCCCAGTAGCCAGAATTACAGGCATGCGCCATGCCCGGCTGATTTTTGGATTTATTGTAGAGATGAGGTCTCGCTGCCCAGGCGGGTCTCGAACCCGCGGGCTCAGGCAATCCACTCACCTCAGTCTCCCAAAGGTACGGGATTACAGGCTGAGCCACCGAGCCCGGCTTGGTAATATTTCAATGTGTAAAATATATACATCCAAAAGCATAGGTTGTACTCTCAAATATACAGTTGACATCTATTAAGGAACTGATGAAGTCTGCTATATTCATAAATGCTACTCTTTTTTTTTTTTTTTTGAGTCAGAGTCTCACATTGTCACCCAGGCTGGAGTACAGTGACACTCGTGGCCATCGCAACCTCGCTCTGCCGGGCTCCGGCGATCCTTTCTGCCTCAGTCTTTCAAGTAGCTGGAACTATAGGTACGTGCCACCACGCCTGGCTAATTTTTGTGATTTATTGTAGAGATGACAGCTTGCCAAACTTCCCAAGTTGGTCTCGAACCCGTGGGCTCAGGCAATCCTCTCGCCTCAGCCCCCAAAGTGCTGGGATTAGAGGCATGGGCCACTGTGCCTGGATGAAATGCTACTCTTTCGTAAGTCTTTCTGTTATTTAAAAAATAATTTGATAAACATGACTATATGAAGGGGATCCCAAAAAACCCTGGAATTATATTTTGGAGTGCAGGTCCTTTGTACAGGATTCTCCTGCTAGGTAAGTGTTCTAAGAACCCACTGGCATCAGTGTACCAGCTAGCAGTTGTTGTGAGAGGCTTTGTTTGGCTTTAGTGAGTGTTTTTTTGGAGATTCTTTTAACATGTTTTCCCATTTCTCAATGGGAGATTTACTAGCACATCTGCACACTTCATGCTGAGTGTTCAGCAGTCTTTTTCTTTGAGTCTGAGTCTCACTCTGTCGCCCAGCCTGGAGTGCAGTGGCCGCTCCCGGCCACCGCAGCCTTGACCTATTGGGGTTCCGGCAATCCTTCTGCCTCAGCCTTCCGAGTAGCTGGAATTACAGGCATGCGCTACCACACCCGGCTAAGTTTTTTGATTTATTGTAGAGATGAGGTCTCGCCAAGTTGCCCAGGCGGGTCTCGAACCCACGGGCTCAGGCAATCCACTCACCTCAGCCTCCCAAAGTGCTGGGATTACAGGCTGAGCCACCGAGCCTGGTCCATAATTTTTTTTTAGATTTTTTTTTTTAAATGATAAAGATGGGGTACAAGACACAACTTTTAAATAAACAAATTCTGGGTTTTTTGGGTCTCCCCCCTCCTGTATATATATGAGTTAATCTCACAAGTCTGTTTTTTACCTTTATCTTCTGTTCTTTCTGAAGTTTTTCAGCTTCTAATTCTTTGTCTACCATTGCTTTGGTTCTCTGGACTTCTAAAATCTGAACTTCTAATAACTTGGCATTAGACTGCAGTGTCTCAATACGAGCCTGGAGATCTTCATTATCAGAACTGAATTTTTCACACTGAAACGACAAATGATCCATCACTGTAAATATGCAGAAAATATACATAAGAGAGGAGAAATGAAAAGGTACATTAACAAAACCATTCGCGTAGTATGAAAAACGAAGACTTCAAGATTAAGGCTATAGAAGTAAAAACGTTCAATTAAGGACGAGCTTCAAAAACTATCAACGTGATATGGCAAACCTTTCAAGAGACCAGGTGCACCAGCAGAGCAAAGAACTGACATGAAAACAAACCAACCGACCCAGGGAAACTGAGACTAGAGTAATGAGCAAGACAGGATGGCTGCTCATTGTTTTGTCATATTCTTTTCTCAACAGTGAGGTGGGGTAAAGAAATTCTGTTTGATCTATATACTAATTCTAATTTTTATGCAAAGTACTAAGATTAAAATATACCTGTTACAATCTTTCATTTCTGAGCTTACTCAATTTAAAGTTACCTGCAAAGTCGAATTTCTTAATTGTCTTGTAAGGTCTTCAATATGATGCTCAAAATTATTAGCACGTTCTTTTTCCACATCCAACTGCTCTGATTGTTTATCATATTCTAATAAAAGATTCTTCAACAAAAGACAGAAGGATTTAACTGAGATATCATTACGCAATCAAGAAGACACACTGTATCATCAAGACATCTTGATATACAATTTATGAGTCTATTCTGGATGTAAAAAATATCTACCCAAGTTCAACATTTGGCAGAATACTTACCTGGCATTAGGTAACGAAATTAGCATAACTGGCTGGGTGCGGTGGCTAAAGTCTGTAATCCTAGCACTTTGAAAGGCAGAGGTGAGAGAACTGCCTGAGCCCAGGGGTTCGAGACTAGCCTGGGCAACTTGATGAGACCTTGTCTCTACAATAAATAAAAAAATAATCTGGGCATGATAGCATGCGCCTGTAGTTCCCGTTACTTGGAAGGCGAGGTAGAAGGACCGCCTGAGCCCAGTAGATCGAGCTGCAGTGGCTGCGAGCGTGTCACTGCACTCAAGCTTGGGTGACATAGTGAGACTCCAATTCCAAAAAAAAAAAAGCACAATTCAGATGATTTTTAGTATTTGGAGTATTAGGGGAATATTTTAAGGGGAAGAAAATGTTAGATGTACACAACACAGGCCATTGTTTTGTTAAACACTGGCCAGGCCATGTGCTCAAAGAGCTATGGCCGCCATGTTTCCTAGCTTTGCCCCCCTCCCTTACCTTGGGGAGGTGAATTTCCTCTCTCTCTCTCCTCTAATTTACTTTCTAAATAAACTATATTTTCCAATCTAAAAAAAATGTACACAATATAACAGTTCCAAGGCTAAATATTCTATTCATCACAAAAATGAACCTCTGAAACAAGAAAATTTTAAGGAGGGAAGATAAAAAGTTTAACTTAGCCACCTACTAACTCCACCTAAATAATTCTGATGGACTGGGCTCGGTGGCTCAGCCTGTAATCCCGTGCCTTTGGGAGGCTGAGTAAGTGGATTGCCT